GCTATTAGGTAATAGTTTTATAAACAATCTTCACACACACACACACACACTTGCAGGGTTACACATTGTCATGTGAAGGGAACTATCATTAATACGTGTATTTTAACTTATTTAAGCCTCCTTTCGCTCACCCATAAATGATAGGAAATAAATGAAGAAATAGTGACGTGTCTTCTAGTTACCTTCTTTCTTCATCAAAAAGTCTAAGTAATAAGCATCTCGTAAGAAAACTGTCTGAAATTTCATTCTAATACTCAACCAAGTCCCAGCTGCTGAGCTCTTATTTCCCTTTTGGGGCTTTTAATTTCTTAAATTTGTAAATTGAGTAATTAACGGTGTTCAAGCGACAGGCGCTTAATCAGCTGGAAGATTCTATTGGCCGTGTGTCTGCTCGCCTGCTGGTGATTGCTTGTTTCAAGGGAAATATTAGAAGCATGAGATCGCGCATTAGGTTATTTAATATTTTCTGACATATGTATGTGTGTATATACGAATACAAAACAGAAGAGCTAGTTATGAGAAATGACATTTTTAAATATTGTGAGCAAAGTGAACTTCAGCCGGAAGTTAGGGAGTTGTTGAGTTTTTCGAACTTGTGGCTTATTTAGTATACTATTTCATGTTTTAGTTAAAAAAAAATTGTGAAATAAATCATAGATCATCGAATAGCAATTTGGAAGACCGTTATAATTATTTATCGTTTTCCAAGCCTGAACCTCATCAACAATATCTTCCCGCAAGTTTTTGCGTTGTTCATAAGACTTCGATAATTGCAAAATAAGGTACTAAATATTCCAGATGTCAATAGGAAATTAATTAAAACCTGACGACCAGGCACCCAACAAGGAGTTAAACTGTTTCTCTGCAGATCGCCGACTGTACAGCATAATTTTTCAGTTGTTTTAAGCGTATCAAACGGCTTAATCGCAGTCTTGCTAATGCTGTATATAAAGATATTCTTGCTCGTGAGTTTAGGTCCGCTGCCTCCATATTTAGGCAAAAATATCTCGGCATGAAATACACTGAAATGATCGGGTAGCCTGAAAAAGGCCGCAAAAGGTTGGTTTCAAGAGAAAATTCCTCCACCAACTCTTCTACTGAGTGCTGTATTCTGATAATCCATTAAGCTCCTAATCACACCACGTCTACAAGTCATTGCTAATCTTTAATTTATGCCAAGGAGGTCAATGGTTAAGACTATGTTTAACATAGGTCACCATACAGTCACCCATACAAGAGTGTTGGTCCCACAACAGATTGTAGATCCAATAACAATTTTTTTTTATTTTCTTGTTCAGTTTTAGAGTTGAATGGTTTATTGTCGGCGTTTTATACTTCTTAATGAAGGGAAGGAACTCTACTTTATATGAGTTGGTACAGAGTCTACTGTTAGACCAGTTAGATACTCTTCGAAGATTCCCGGCAGCAAGCCGCCGACAAAATTATCGGCGTTTGCAATGACCCTAACTATTCAACAATTAGTTCAGAGCATGGCTTTATATTGTACTTAGAGTTGTAATTAAACGTTTAGGAGACAAAACGTACAAATAATAAAAAATAAAAGCCTAGAAGCTTATAATTACTATATAAATTTAATGTATAATGTCAGTTTTAATTTATTCATATGCATTTCTGTGAGCATGTTGAAGGAGATGAAAATCAATTAATCTCACTTTTTTGTGAATTTAAAAGCTTAACTCTTTTGTGAAATAATTAATAACTTTACATGTTTAACGATCATAATTTTATGGTTTCGCCGTCAATTTATACCCCTTTGTTGTCGATTTTTAAGTTATTTTATTTATTTGTTTTTTTTTTTTATTTAGATAAGCTACAGAGTGACTATTTATTTATTACCATTATTATTTATATAAATATATATATATAAACATAAATATATGTATTTTTTCAAATAAAAAACTACTAGTTATAAAGTGAACGACATTGCCAATGCGTGGAGATTAGTGTCTTAGCCGCCAGTCACCACAAATGAACAACTGTCGAACCACTTAAATGCAAATTAATAAACATATTAAAGGCAACAACAACCGCTAATTAGTCTGTTGGCTACAAATGCTGATTTATTGCAGAAAGAAAAAAGTTTATAAACATATTTGTTAGTTTGTATGAATACATGTAGCTATGACTGTATGTATGGAAATGGTAGTAGACATTGTGAGTTTTAAAATATATGCATATAAACATATAATTAGTTATAGTGTCTGTTATAAATACTTATGTATACCATATAATCTCAACTTAATTCTGTTCAAACTTCGGCTAGCATTTAATGTAGCGGATCAAATGTTAAATAATAGTGAGCGCGAAAAAAATTGCTGAACAAAAATATCCGCAACGCCTACAAAATATTTCAAAAATTTTCACATAACAAAATATTTTGGCTGTCAGCAGTTCTATTTCAGGCTTTGAGGCAGATTTAAAGCGTCTTATAGACAACTTTTCTAGGCGAATGAATATAATTACCCACTAATGGTGCTGGTATGGATAAAACTACCTGCAATATGATGTACATACGAGTATAAATGGATATACATTTCTACACACAAAATATACATGCATACATTCTTCTCTATCTTTTATATTTACCAGCCATAATTGGTGAGCTTTGCTAGCGCACTGCTAGACATTGACCAAATATATATTTATATATATGTATATATACATATGTTACTGCCATACGAAATGCTACTGTAAGAATTTCATTAATGTTTTGTAGCGTGAAAACCAGCTTAACAACATAACAACTCTTTGAAAAACGAAAACTATTTTGTAAGCCAATTTTTTGAAAGAGTTTGAAAAAAAAAATTGTTATTCATATTGAACAATATTTGCCTAAGAATTAAAACAAATTAAATTTTGCAACAAAACGCCTCTGAAGAACTATAAAATTCTAGTATAGGATTACAATGATTAACAAAAATTAAAAAAAAAAAATTTATTTTTTTAGTTTTGAACTAGGTGCCGCAGCCGAAAATCACTTCAGTGTCATTTTCTTATAATTTATGTCTCTCATAATAAAATTAAATAATACAATTATAAGAGGCATATTCAGAAAGTAAGTGTACAGAGGCGGTCACGGCCGACATGTTGCCAACACGGTAGTGTAGCAAAACTACCCCCCTTTCTCTCTTTCCCTGCGTTCTCCGTTTAAGACCTTAAAAATTGCGGAGGGCGATTCAGAATAACAGGAAAGGCATATTGATCACACACAGCTAATGAGATGATGGGACTACTGGCCTCGCTTAAGTTAGATGTCTTAAGCTATCCCCTGCATTCCTCTGATCCGGCACTTTACTGTTTTGCTATGGACGAGAAGGTAAAGGTAGAGGTGAACGCAGGGATTGGCGGGAAACTACTTCGAGAAAGGCATACAAAATTGATAACCCGCCCCGCCAACTGCAAAAAGAGAAATGATGACTATGTATATAGGAAAATAGCTTATATTATGCAGTAAAGTCTAACGTATTATTTGGTTAAGATAAAAAAAAATTAAAAATCTATCAAAACTTCAATATACTAACTTTCTGGATATACCTCGTATATGTATGTATTAAGAATATACAAAATTTTACCTTCATATATGCTTGTATTGTACATATTATATTAATAGAGCAGACGAAAAGCTTTAGCAAGAAGTGACTACTTTAAATTTAATTACAATTTATTGTTATTTTTTTCTTCCAAGCAAATACAGGCGGCGTTTTAATATTTTAAAATAGTTTCACAACAAGCAAATTTGCAAAGTTGTTGTAGGCGTACGCCAAATTCAGAAAATAAACTTTTTAAGTAAGAACTAAGCCAACTTACTTATTGTTAACCACATAATTAAGCGAATAAGGAAAACTCACTCTCATCAATATTTTATACACGAATATATCCATATGTTTCTATTTAATACTTATATAAACGCTGAAATGATCTTTCATTTTCATTACCTATAGCAAATCGCCTTATTGGCGCTAATTTCCGTCTCTTATTCAGTTAATCGTCGTTATCGATAAATTTATCGACGCGCTTTGTTTCAAAAAAAAATCCTCAGTTTTTTTATGTTTCCTCTATTTTTATTTTAATATTTTTAATTTTTTTTTTAATTTTATCATTAAAAAATCTGCAGTTAAATTTTCTGAACCATTTGCTACTTTATCTAATTTTTATATATTTTAATGTATTCTCTCTTATTCTTTCAATATTTAACACAATGGCATAAATCAACAGGTGTTCTAGCAGCTCATTTTGTTGTTGCTTCAAACATAATACAACATGTTGGAAGTTAGATTGAAGGTTTTATTGCCGCAATCAGCTCCCAGTTTGCTTGGAGTAGTGGATACCAAATTGAGTTATTGGCAGTGTTGCTTGTTTTTGATTTCGGGGAAAATTCTTCAGTTTAGTCTGAAGCCACGTAATCGAGCTCTGCTTTGATAAACGTGTTGAGTAGGACTTAACAATTTTTTTCATAAAACTAGACAATTTCACCGAATGTGTGTGGTAAATTAAAAGAAAGCAGAGTGTATATTTATTTCTTGAAATTATTAGTTTTTTTCCAAAACGTCTGGAATTTAATGAAAAAACATTTTGAATAACAGTTAAAATATCGGCTTATCTGAAATTTTAATGTAAAATAGTACCTAAGAGTAACCTTGTGTTAGTCGTAGTGCTATGACTTTAAGAGACTTTCTACATTTCTGCGGTGAAACTTATGACTCTGCCAATTTTTACCCCTCACTTTGTCTACATGATATTTTGAAAATCATTCTTCAAGATTATTTGCCATTTTTATTTTATATTTATTTTGTTATAATCTTATATTTAGCGAAAAGTAGACTCTAGTTGTTGGCTCAAAAAAGCGGCATCACTGTTACCACTAACACATACTCCCAGCCAACGGCTCTCACAAACGCTCCACTGTGTTGGAGTCTAAGAGCGTGAGCTGCCAGCTAAGCGCAGCTGATTGCAGTTGGATTTTATTCGTAAAAGTGGAGTCGAGCGAGGCGAATGTGATGTGTACTTTGTGCGCGCGCGTTTTAGCGAAATCCGAAAACCGGCTAAAAATAGCAAACAAAATTGCTGTTGCTGATAATCACGGAGACAAATTAAACATATAAACAGTGACGTTTCATTGATAAGAAAGCGGTGAATAAATTGGCGAAATATAATAAAAAGCACAAGTAAATAAAACTTAATTTGAATTTTTCTATTTATAAAAAGCACACGAAAAGCTAAATTGTGTGCTTCGGGTGCAAGAATTAAGTAGCTGACATAAGCGAATTGACAAGCGTGCAAGCGAGTAAATAAAATGCGGCTAACTTGAAGAATCTCGTATTGTCTACAACAACAATAAAAAACGAGACTAAAACAAAAACTTGCATAAATCACTGTAGCATAATAAATAAATGGAGCTGATTGCTTCGTTAAAAACAATAACAACAACAATTGCAAACACTTTGACTTACCTTGGCAAAAGTAATTTGTAGACGTTGATGGTTTCTTAATTTAAATTGATAATGGAAATGTGTAAATTGGTGTAAAATATGACAGAAAGTGAAGATAAAAATTTAATTTCATTTTAAGCTCTCGCACTTTGTAGATACAACAGTGTACATATGTGTGCGTACAATTACAAAGGAATGTGCGTGTAGTTAAAGCGGCTTATTTATTAGTAAAAAATTGTTGATTCAAGGTAATTGTTGATAGCTGCAGCAGTGTTGGACAACATTCTTGGAAATTGATATTTTTCTATAAAAAAAAATATTGGGCTAAGTTAAGCGATACTCCAACAGCTGCAAAATTATTCTACACTAATTGTGAGCAGAAGCAATTAAAAGGTAATAAATAATCTATATAAATATTACTACAATATTTATACATACATACATACATATATACATATGTAATTTATTTTCTAATAATAATAAGAGCACTAAAAGCCACGGATCTTGGCCCAAATGCCATCAAAATTGCTTATACATAATTAAATGCTTTAATTAATGCGACTAATTACAACATAAAAATGCTAATGTAAAAAATTCAAAACAATACAAAAAAATAGAATTGAAATTAAACAAAACCAACTTGTGTGTACGTACATATATATTTCAAAAACGTCCAGTAGTACAGTAAAAAATAAATTTTTGAATTTAAATTCGAATTATTTAGTTATAAAAATCGCCGTTGAGTATACGAATTAATTTCTTACTGAACATATAATAGAAAAAAGTGCTAAAGAAGTTTTAATATATGAATAAAAGTTGGTTTACATTAAATCTCTTAGTTTATTGATATCAAGAAAAGAAAATTTTTGATTTTGTATTCTTAATAAATTAGAGGGGTTTCGTTTTTTTAACACACCAAACTGCCAGTAATTGGTTTGGGTGACTATATTCCAAAAAACTTACTTTCGTTTCGAAAAAATAGTTGACTTTTTGAGGTTAGATGAGCACACCCTAATATATACAAATTTATAGCCCTGAGCAAAAGCCCATAATATGTATAAATTCATGTATTTTCAGTGAGCAAATCACGTGCATTGAAGCGTTACAGGTGTAGTCAACCTCTCAGCTCACTGTCGTCGATATCTGCAGAGTAAGACGCTTTACCACCACCAGCAGTCGCTGTACTGCTCTGTAGCGGAGCTTCACGCTATTTGTCTTAAGTTTTACCTTAAAGCGCGCGTGCGGCCAACTTCACATTCTGGCGCTACTTATCTACCGGTGGCACGGTTGGACGCTTTTAACATTGCTTGATTTTAGTGATTTTTGCTTCTGATTTTCTTATCTTTTTTCTCAACGCGATTCTTTCATTCATTTTTGAAGTTTTTGTTGCTTTTTTAATTTGTTGATTTACTAAGTTTTTGTTGGTTGTATGTTTTGTTTCTATGCTTGCCTTCATTTTTATTTTATTGGTCAAAGTATGTGGTTAGTAAAATTATTTCGCTTATTCGGCGCAAAATTAGTGAGCCAATTAGTTGTTGGAGGTTTGAATACGAGTATGTTGTGAAAATCAAGACAAAACCGAAAACTAGTAATAATAGCAGTGATTTATTTAAAGGAAAAAATAAAGCAAAAAAAAAAGTTTACTGGAAAAGAAGTAGTTGAATGTTGTTGCGGTTTGTCGAAGAAAAGAACGCATATCTAAGAACTAAAAATCTAATTTTAGTGCTAAAATGGGATTGGTGAACGTCCATTTGTTTCTTCCTCTTATTTTAAAATATAGAGCACTGAGATAATTTTGCCCTGTGTTTGCGAATATTTCTAATACTTTTTTCGTCATGAGAAAAATTAGTCTAAAATTAAATGCGCTTCCCCACTGTGCCAACGCTTTAAAAATGGTCTTATTCATATGAATGTTTTTAAATTTTAATATAGAAAATGAAAACAAATAAACGAAATGGAGATATATTATTACATACTAGAGCTCTAAATGCGCGTCCATAAAGCAGAGTGAGTAGTTCGATACCCGGGCGGGAATCGTTCATTGCTTAACTGCTTTCACGTTTGTTTGAAACTGCAGTATTTTCGACAATTTGAGCCGCAAAAAAATTTGAAATTTAATTAATTCATTATTTTTGTCAGAAATTTCTGATTTATGCCAAATATATATATTTGAACCGTTTTGCTCGATAACTTATCACCATTTTGAAGGCAATGCCATTACGCCTCCCTCATAGAAACACTTTTTCCTTTTGGGAAAATTCATTTTTGGATACAATCGATTTTCACAGACTTCTCTTGAGGCCAGCCAAATCTTTGTCCACAGACAGAAGCAGATGGTAATCACTTGATGCTGGGTCTGGACTATAATGTGCTCACATAAGAAACCCTCAAGCGAGTCTCGATTTGTGTGGCAATCTATCTTGGCTTGCAGACCGATTGTAACGGGGTAAGTGATCTACTTTTTTCACAAGTCACCTCTCGCTTCAGTCAGCCAATTGTTACTATTCAGGAACGATTAGCAGCTGGGAATGTGGCACCCATACATCGGCCTTTTCTGTGTATCTTGCCTTTTTAATATATCGTTAGCTAATCACACTTAAAGAACGCAAGATACAGAACACTAAATCGACTTAGGCATCACCTATTTAAGTTTTTTGTTTCTGAAACGGCTTATTTGTCTCTAATATATTGACTAGCTGTTGCCAGAGATAGGATTCTATTGAAATGCTTACTAATGTAGACTGTTAATATTGACATATTGAATCAGTTTTGGTGAAGTATTCAGCATTTTTAATCACTTAAACCTTATGTGAAGAGTATTTCTTATCTACCCTTCACCTTAGAAAAATATTTACTTTTCATTTAATAAATATTAGATAATTTGGTGCAAAAATTGGAAATATATTTCTTATAATAAAAAATAGATATGATTTTTTACTTTTACTTTGTTGTTGTTAGCCCAATGAACACAAATGTAAGGGTGATGTTAATTGGGAAATTTGTATTTGCATTAATAAACTCAACATTCTGTGTATCAAATACTGACTTATCGCCTTGAATCTAACTATTCTGATATGTATGTACACAAACACATTTGCACGAAATGTTGGCAGAAAAAACAAGTGCCAAAATTCTTAATTAAATAATACATATCTGAAACGAAAAATATTTGCTAAGCAAATAAAGGGTGACTCGCAAATAGATAATGAAAGTGCTTGTGTCATTAACACAATAAAATTTATTTCGTGTATTTTATTGGACTACATATACTAAATAGATGCATATTGCAGTCAGACAATAAGCCTTTTGTTATAAATTTTGTTTTTGCTTGAAAGAAGACCTTAGCCCCGAGAAGAGCAGTCAAAATATATTTTTTATAACTTTTAATTTGTAAATGCTATAATATTGATTGCAGGCCTGTTAGTATATATGTATGTATGTACATGAAAAAATGCGTATGAATTTTCATTGACATGTGTTGCACTAATTTTGCAAAAAAAAAGAAAACTGTTATTCTGTATATGTATACGTTTGCACACGCAGTGTTTTAGTGTAGGTTAAATAAATTTAATCATGCCTTTTTATTAATGTAGGCGTATATGTGTCTGTACTCATTTATACATACATACATACCCGTATGCATACATAGGTACGTTGCCGTAACTAAATATGGTCTTAATAAACTCTTATTCTGTACTCAAATGACCAGCTGTTGTCCAAATACTACTTGTTGCAGAGCAAGTATATTTTATACATACGTACTCTTACATATACACATACGTACATACATATGTTCACTACAAGTATATGTAGTTGCTATTTAGCTGCTGAAAATTCTTTGCTTGATTGCTTTTCATTCACTTCAATTCACATTTAATACTGTTATTGCTCGCAATTAAGTGAATTTACCGTAAATGTCGACAACGGCTGTGCGTTTGATTTTAATTTAAGCCACTTGAAGACATTTTAAGTAGATATTGCGGAGCTTAAAATATATAAAGATATAAAAGCATACAAACATACTATTTATATGTTTAGTTAACTGTGTACATTGTAATTAAATTGCGCTACTTTTACTGTCAACCGTCAGGTGTGTATGTACGAGTAGTTGACAAACTACAACGTCCGATGGGCAACATGTCTGCTGGAGTGCTTACAGCGTTGTGTTAATGCCAGTACAAAATGTGCAAAAAGTTTTTTGGAAAGTTTAATAAAATGTCGTTTAAAATATTAATAAACTATTTCATTTGCACATTTCCTGGAGGCCGTAGCAGTTGGCGTGATTTTGGGTGACAGCTCATGTGCTAAATGTTTTTTAATATATTAAAAATATTTTCCATAATAAAATGTAATTTTCATGTAGTATTTAAAATGAAAGCGATAGGTTTAAATTGTGATGTTCAAAGCTTTTTTCTTTATTTTATTGGCCAGCAACAAAGTTACACCACTCCACAGGCTCTAATATTGCCAGGTTTCTTAAAGTTTTGCTCAATTGCTAAATTTTGATAAGGTCTCTTGGTCAAGTATTAATTCTGAAAGTCTGAGATTTACTTTCATACACAAGAATTTCGATGCTGATAATTATACAAAATATTTTATTTAATTATATTTATTTATTTTAATTTTTAATTTTTTGTCTATTCAATGTAATAATAGTATATTTAGGCTACCGATCTATTGTATAGATTAATGTTGAGTCTGACTAAGACCCATTGCAAAGGCACAAGAACTTGACCGGTAGGCATCGATTCTCTAAGCAACCTAATTTTGATGCCGGCTTTCTGCGATAGATCATCTTGTAGTAAAGTTTTAGGCAACTTGGGCAGCGCAGTCGCATAGGAGACAAATGATCTTTTCCTCCTCATCATCATCTTTGCAGGCTCTGCAGCATCTTCTATAGGTAGCCCATATTCTCTCCGCATATCGTTTAATCAAACAGTGGCCTGTGTCGGACTCCTATTACTCTTTTCAAGGAGTACAAACGCCATGATCACTTCTTATTACATTTTTCATTGAAAATATTTACCAAAATCGGTATTTTCTTAATTTTTTTTTCTACTTTAAGTTTGAAAACGTTTTGTAAAATTTTTTAAAATGTATATTTATCTATAGTGTAGGGTCGTTACTCAGCAAACTTTTTAATTTTTTTTGATTAATAAAACTGTTAGTATTCATCAAATATATATTTATTTCATAATCTATCGTATTCACCTACCGCATCAAGAAAAATTACTTAAAATATCCTCTTGTGTACATACGTATTTACATATATATGCACAATATGCATATATAGAGATGTAGACATCTAGTTAAAATCTAGATTGATATAATTTTAAAATTATGTATGCTCCCGTTATTTGCTTACAATACAAATCCATATTATATACTATATA